TTATTAGCTCTGGTAGCATAGTGCTTATATGAATTGGGTTGCTAAGCTCACAGTCAGAAGTTCAAAACTACCAGCTGTTCTGCAGGAGAAAGATGAGTCTTTCTGCTCCCGTAAAGATTTACAGCCTCAGAAACCCTGTACAAGCTCATTAAGAGTTGGAACCAACTCCATGGCATATAATAACAAATATATATATATATAAAGAAAAATATGTACAAAAGAGTTGAACTGAACTTCTAGCTTCAATCTGAAGAACCACAACTTCTTAGGAAATTATGATTTGTGAAACACAGAACTGAGATGTGTACCAGAGACCTAGAACAATATTTAGGGCACAGAGCCCAGCCCACATCAGTAATCCTATTCATGGTACCCTTCAGGGAATTTTGTTTAAGTTATGATTTTTGTTTTCCATTTTCTTTTCTTCTTATTCTAAAGCATATGTTTTTTAGCTACACATATCTGCACATATATGTATATGTATGTAATACCTATGCTTATGAAACCTCAAGTGAGACCAACTTATAGATTCTTTCTTTGGGTCTCATTTGATGCTTTGGTATATATAAGAAGGGGTTCAAAAAGTTCATGGTAAACTGAAATTGAAAGATAATGTATCCTCAGATACGAATAGGTAAGGAAAGATTATATACAAGGAGAATATAGAAGATAGAACAAGAAGAACATCATCTCACAACCTGTTTTCTGAGAGTCTTCACAGCACATCTTCCCTAATATACCAGAAAGCATATATCTAATAGCATGTTTCAAGAGTTAGGAAAGTTGGTAGAGTACCTTATGCTTTTAGAAAAAATGATCTCTTTAGGAAATCAGACAGTCTGACTATTTTCCTGGTTCTGCAATGCTAACAACAGGTGTATGATATTTTCCTTCATGTTACATTTTCATTTAGCATTTCATATATTTTCATAGCGAACACTATTTTGGGATCAACATAAAACCAAAAACTGAGAAAATGTTCATAAAATCTTGTAACACTTAAGCAAATTATTCACTTTTTCTAAACAAAGAATTATTTTCATCAGATGTGTATTACTTTAAGAGTTTTTGTCCAACTATAGTGCAAATGTTTTAAGCTGCTGTTTGCTTAAAAACCTGTCAAAAGAACTAAATATTTCATAGTTTGACAACCAAAAGAGATTTTTTTCCAAATTGCAGAAAAGTTCAATGTGTTTAAGATGTTTTGATGATCCTAATTTTGAAATTTTTGTTTTCTTAAACATCAGTGCAATTTTTCTTGAAAAAAAAAAAAAAAAAGTCAAAGGAATAATATTCCTAACTATACTAGATTGTACAGGGTCGCTATGGGTCGGAACCGACTCGACGGTACTTAACAACAACAACTATACTAGACTAGCATTTTAATGGGACACTGATGTACCACAACAGGGTACATACATACCCAATTTCATCTATTTTTCACAGGATCTACTGTTATACCCAAACCAAAGAAGTCATATCTACCCCATATGTTGTTGTTGTTAAGTGCCATCGAGTCGGTTCTGACCCACAGAGACCCAGAACAGGCTTTCTGAGACTGTTAATCTTTACGTGAGCAGAAAGCCTCATCTTTGTCCCGCGGAGCAGCTGGTAGTTTCGAATTGCTGACCTTGTGGTTCGCAGCCCGATTCGTAACCACTACACGAGGGGGCTCCAAAAACTCATGGAAAAATGCAATTAAAAGATAATGAAAAGTTTCCACAATCTTTTTGAAGCTTCCCCTAGTACACTGTTGTTGTTGGGTGTCACTGAGTTGTTCTCAGTTCACAGTAACCCTGTGTGACTGAGCAGAACTGTTCCATAGAGTTTTCTAGGCTATAGAGTCTAATCTACACAGGGAAGCTTGAGAATGAATAAGGACGGTCAAAGATAATCTCATTAAATTACTGATGTCTTTGGATTATGGTTTGGTGAAGAATATTGATTATACCACGGATTGCCCAAAGAACTAATATATCTGTGTTGGAAGACATACAACCAGAATGCTCCTTAGAAGTAATGAGGGCGAGACTTTGTCTCACATACTTTGGACATGTGATCAGAGGGAACGTGTTCCAGAACAAAGGCATTATGTTTGGTAGATCCTCAACAACACGAATCGACACAGTGGCTGCACCAATGGGTCAAACATAAAAATGACCGTGAGGATGGCACAGGACTAGGTGGTAGTTTGTCCTGCTCTACTGTTAGTTGGAACAGACTACACACCAGTGTAATAGCAATCAACAATCTCTAAGGGAGCAGGTCTTTTCTCCTGATGAGCCACTTCATGGGTTCAAGTTATCAACTTTTTGGTTAGCAGCTGAGTGCTTAACTGTTGCTTCACTTGAACCCCTTTGTTGGTGTTGTTTTTTGTTAAGTTCCATCCCATCAACTCTGACTCATAGCAACCATGTATAGGGTTTCTGAGGAGTGGCTGGTGGATTTGAACTACCAACCTTGTGCTTCTTAGTCCAGTGCTTATCCTACTATGCCACACCAATAGTCCCCACCTGGACACCTGATACTGTGGTAATGACTAGCACTGTAAAGGAGTTTTTGTTTTGTTGTGTGTGTGTGTGTGTGTTAGGCAATGTTGGCCTTACCTCTTAAGTCAGATAGTTGCATCTATTTTACATATTAGAAAACTGAGGCTTGAATAAGTTAAATAATTTACCCAGTATTAAAAAGAATATTAAAATGTTGCTTCTAATTCATTACTCAAGCACTTGGAATCAAAAGATCCTTGTAAAACAAAAAGTATAACCCCTTTCTTTTAAAGATGAAGAAGCTGAGGGTCAGAGTGGGTGGGAGGGTGGGTTCTTTCTAAGGCTCCTGTAGTTGGTCAAAGCCTAATCCACATGTTTGTCTGCCTCATAGTCTGGAGCTTGCTCTTCAGAAACTCCTCATTCCATTCTCTCACCAAAGGTTTTCTGACAACAGGCTTTCAAACAGTGAGCTATCGGCAGGTGGGCAGTAACTCCCAGCCAGAAAGCTCTGCACAGCGCAAAAATGCCACATGCACAGCCCTTACTTCGAACAGGTTCTGGTTCAGGGGAGCCTGAAGGTGGGACAATTGGAGAATGGGCGCTATTCTTTCTCTCCACACTCGCTGTACCAGCCGCTGCAGGAACAGCCTGGGGATCTGGGTTCTCAGCATGAATGGTAAGTCTCACTGTAGTCTTTGCTGTCTTCAGGAGGCTAATAAACTGGCAAGAGATTGTTGTGGAGAGAAACAAAATTCAAAAGCATATTAGTAGATTTAAACATGTCACAATTTTAGTTACAATCTCATTCTAGCTACGTTTGGCAGAAGAGAAAGATGGACTTGAAGGTCATCTAGGTGTGTTTTTGTTTGTTTGGTTGGTTGTTTGGTTTTTGATTGGCTGATGTACATTAAAGCCATTGTTAATTTTTACTGTAAGTCTAGTTCTGACCCGATTCTTCCTTATATAAGCATAGTGTTTTGCATCTTTTTATAGTTTGAATTAATCATGTTAATCCCCTATAGCCTTACAAGTTAAATGGAATATTTTACCCACTTCCTGATTCTATAGAGCAGCTGAAGTGACCCCGTTTAATAAAAGGGAAACACATATGTTAAAATCAGAATGCAGAACCAGGCCAAGTGGAAAGTTACAACTAGATATATGGGCTAAAGGGTCTAGTCAATATGTTACTGAAACGAAATAAAAAATGCACACTGAGCTTCTTCCTGCCCAATGGAGGAATGGAAACAAGGTCAATTCCGTGATATTCCCTCATCATATGTCAAGACAACATACTAAATAATAAGCAGGAACAAGGCTTTTTCTGGAACCTTCATATTAAAGGTCTTATGTAAAATTTCTAGTAACCATTAAGATGACTTTTGAGGAAGAAAAAACTCAGGTACAAAGAACTGCTTAACTCTAATGAAGTTATATATTTAATGATGTACTTACAGAGCATTACACATAGCACAAAGAACTGTTTAACTCTAATAAAGTCATATATATAATGATGTACTTGTAAAGCAATATGCATAGTCCAAAGAACTGTTTAACTCCAATGAAAGTTACACATTTCATCATCTGAAAAGTTGCTTATGAAACATTATGCATTATAGATTCTTATGGAAGGGAACATTCATTTAAAAACTATTCCTTTGTTCTTACATGAAGCCTTTATTCAATAGTTTCAAGGTTTCCTAATTTAAAGTAGAAATGATAGGTATCAAAAATGTCTATGGACTATTATTGAATAATTTACCAGGTAACAGAAGGAAAAAAAATGAAACAGAACACAAAAACTAACAACATTGCTTTGATTATATACATTATATATAAATGGAAATGGAGAAACTTCTAAATAACTCCTTCTTTTCCTTAAGCAGGTATGTCCAATATAGTTGTGCAGCTCTTTATGCCCACAGAATTCCTTATGTCTAACATCATGCTGCACACAAAGCCTACGAAGGCTGTCGTTTGGAAGAGTACCTTTTCAACAGGATAACCAACAACTACTTCATCATCTATAGCCAAGATCTGATCCCCAACTTTGAGTCGTCCATCCTAAATGAAAACAGAGAATATTTTGAGCATTTTTTCCAGTGACAACTTTGTGACCGTGCGAATAGTAAGGCCTCACCTTGGCTGCCACACCATGCTCTGTTAGACTCTTGATGATGACTCCCTGGAGTGTACTGTCTTCACTGATAGCAATGCCCAAGCCCCCTTGATCCTGAAGAAGTGAAATAAGAACACTCAGAAAACCTGAAAGTGATCGTGTTTTATTTAGAAGTGATGTGGTCATAAATTCTAAATGTTATCTTTCACCCACGAGTTTGAAAAACAATGAACATTTTCCCAAAATCTACTAGAAATCTTCTATTAACCAAACTTCCAAGTTTTTCTAATGGGAATAAATTCTCCTCCATCAAATATTCAAGCAGTTTTACTCTTCCTATCTAGCTGACATTTCTAGTGTCTTTAACAAAATATTCAGATAAAATGATGTTTTTAATAATCTAGCCAATAGCAAGCAACATATGCAAATTTAGTCTTGTATAACTAGCTGACAAAATAGGTCATTAAAAACAGTGCAAGTATCCTCTGTCCTCTTTCTTGGCATGTGGTTTTGAAAAAACCAACACGCTGGCCCTTTCATCTCTTTTGGCCACCTGTGTTCTTTCTGCAGATAGACTGCAATTACTGCCACATGCTATGTCATTCTGGGGCTGAACACCAGAGCTGTTTCTCCAGAGGCTTTCGTCTTGATTTGCGCAGGCTGAAAATGCTTTTAGCTCTCAGCACAGATGTGCATGGAAACCCTTCCTTGGAAAGCTACAACTCTTTGTCTATATTTTCCACTTTTCATCAAAACCAAATGTTCAATAATATTGGCTTTCACTCCTCTGATGTAGGCAACCCCATTTACAGCAGAGCAAACCAGGACCAATGAGATTAGGGATTTTTCACTGATCAGTCAGGATGTGGACTGCTGGGGTGGCGCTGTAGGATCAGCACTGGACTGCAAATCACAAGGTCAGCAGTTCAAACCCACCAGCTGCTCCTTGGAAACCCTATACAGGGTCGCTATGAGTTGGAACCGACCCAGTGGCACTTAACAACCACAACTCAGTATGATGTGAGGAGGAGGGTTCTATCCACCCCCACTGTTATAAGCTAACATTTACCCTTTTGATAATGGAAGTTTCAGAGGAGATTCTGAGAAGGGGCTTGAAATGATAACTAGGCAGGCTTTGGATTATGAACGCCTGCACATCCAATTTATTGTATATCTCATATTTGTTCTTTGTTGTTGTTGTCATGTGCCATCGAATAGGTTCCAATTCATAGCGACCCTATATAGGGTTTTCCGGGGGGAGGGGGCAGCTGGTGGGTTTGAACTGCGGACCTTGTGGTTTGCAGTACAGCACCACACTGCTATGTAAATTTGCCCTTACTTAGAAACAATCAAACCAACAGCTAAAATCAAAAAAATAAAATAAAACAAACTCACTGTCATCAAACTGAATCCAACTCATAGTGACTTATAGGATAGGGTAAAGTTGGTTCTAAGTTTTCCAAGACTATAACTCTGTACAGGGGCAAACAGTCTCATGCATCTCATCTTTGTCTCTCAGAGCAGCTGGCAGGTTTGAACCACTGATCTTTGGGTTAGCAGCCGAATGCTTAGCCCACTGACCCCAGGGTTCACTGAACCAACCCCTACTTTCAACAAATTCACAATCACTTTCACTAGCTTCCTGTGCAGCTTTTAAATCACTGAAAAAGCTTTGAGCCCTTTCTTGATGCTGTAGGATAAGTTCTGGACTGGAAGGTCAGCTTGAACAGATGGTCAGTGGTTAAAACTCACCAGCCGCTCCTCAGAACCTCTATACAGGGTTGCTATAAGTCGCAACTGATAGCAACTTAACAATAATGGCTAAGACTAAAGAACTGTATGTACCTGTTCCGACTTAACTACAAATTTGACTTAAATACCCACAGGAATAGATCTTGATCATATTTATGGACTGCCTGTAGTCATTTCAACCTAAAGTTCAAGTTGCTTCAAAATCAAATACATTATCGATGCCTATAGTGAGAACTCCCGGTTAGCTCAACTTTCAGTTTTATGGAAGACAAGAACTGCAACTTATATTTCATAATTCTTTTATTTCCTCCAATGTCATTTCTTGATAAATGAATCAAAGGAGAAAAGGCTTGCATGCATACCTTAGACCAGGGGTGGGGAAAGTCTGGCCTCAAAATTGGGTACTGCCAAGGCAGCCACAATCCCAATCATCCACATAGAGCAGGCTAGTTTTTAAGTTTATAATTCTGTATGACCCATGAGTTCTAAATATCCAGATAGCCCTTGGGGGGAAAAAAAAAGGTTCCCCACCCCTGCCTTAGACAGTAAAAGCTGGGCATTTGTTAAAGTATCTGTTAGATCAGTGGTGCCCAAGCTTGGATGAGCATCTGAATCTCCTAGACGGCTTGTTAAAACACAGATTGCTGGGTTCACCCCCAGAGCTTCTCCTTCAGCAGGTCTGGCGAGAACTAAGCATTTATAGTTTCTAACAACGTCCAGCAGACACTGATACTTAGGTTTGAACACCACGCTTTTAAAAACCAGTGAAGTGGATGGAACACTAGTGTGAAAGTTGTCAACACCATTTCTTCCTAATTTCAGGAAGATTTACCTTGGGAAGCTCCAGGTGTTGCACATTTTTAAATGAACTTAAGTCAACATCTGGGTCGGTGGTTGGAGTAACACGTGGGTCAGCCTGACAGAGAGAAAGGAATGGCCATAAATGGGTATCCTGTAATTTTGTTCGTTTAAAAATAAGGCCCACTTCATCAAAATGATTTCATTGCATATAATTCATTATTACTATTTTAGCATTCAATATGATTTATGAACATTACGCCCTCTTCAAAATACTTATGCAGCATGATTAGAGTACATAATTATTTCACAGCATAGAGACATCAAAAATCCCTAGATTGAATCTACGATGAAATCTAAGGACAATCTTGCTACAAAACAGTGAGACTCACTGAAACCTAGAGTTTAGCAGAAACACCACTCATCATTCTTTACTAGTTTAATCTTGACATGAATTGAGAAATATTAAAAGGTTTTACCTAAAGTCATTAAAGCACTCCATTTCCTTAAGGAACCTATTTAGCACAGTTACAGAACAAATAAAGTTTTCGCCTTTATAATCCATGCATGTTTAATGGATTTAATTTAACACAATTCAATTCAACAATATGAGTAATTAAAAAAGAAACAATCATTTGTACATTTATGTATATTATTGTGTGCCATTCATCTCGACTTAACAGCAGCCCCATGTCCCAGAGCAGAAATGTACCTTAGGGTTTCCTAGACTGTGACCCTTAAGAAAGCAGATTGCCAGGTCTTTATCTTGCGGAGCCTGTACATAGGTTTCAACCATGAACTTTTTTGTTAGCAGCCAAGCTTTTAACCATTGCACCATGAAACCAAATAACAAGAAAATAAAAATTGTTGTCGATTTATTTCAACTCATAGTGAGTCCACAGGACACAGGTGAATTGCCCCATAAGGTTTCCAAGGCTGTCCTGGTGAGGCACTTCGGGCTAAAGCACTAGACTACAAGGTCGGTTTAAACCACAAGGTTCAACCAACTTAGCAGTCCAGCACATTAACCCACAGCGCCACACCAGGACACTGATGTTTGTATTCAGTTAGTAAAAGTATACTTCTCCCTACAATTTGCCCCAGTCGCCAACTGGTATCACCTTGGACTCCCCCAGTATATAAATATTTTTCTTTCTACCACCTCCTTTTCTTCATGTATATCCAAAGTTTTTCCAAATCACAATCATCTCCAAAAACCTCTCTCAACTCTTTGTTACTCTCTAGCCGTTTCTGTCTGTCTCCTAATTTCTTATCTATTATTATGGGCTGTGGGTTAATGCGCTGGACTCCGAAGTTGGGTCGAACTGCAAAGTCTGTGGTTAAAGCTTAACAGTCACTCCTCGGAAACCCTATACAGGGTCGTTATGAGTTGCAACCAACTCCACGGCACTTAACAACAATTATACTCAAATTGCTTTCTCAAAACTCACTAATAATTTCCTAATTGTCAGATGAATGGACTTCCTTGAGTCGTCTCATTGAAGCACTTAAGGGTGCAAAGCACACCCTTCTAGAAATGGATCCCCCTGTATTCATGCAACATGCATCAGGGTTCTCATTCTTTCCACATCATTCTTTTTAGCCTTCTTCCTTATTTATTGATATTACATAAATTTGGCTTTAACCCTTTTACTCCTCCTCTTCTTTCTAAATACTCCTCGGAGGCAAACGCCTCAGGTCCCATGACAAACAAATGCCAAATCAACAACCACAGGAGTACAACTGTAAACTTTGGATGAATTTGTGAACCACAGGATCAGCAGTTCAAACCAACCTGATGTTCCTTGGAAACTCTAGACAGGGTCACTATGAGTTGGAACTGACTTGATGGCACTTAACAGCAATAATAATCAGGCTTTCCAATGGTTCTCACTTCACTCTCAAGTAGAATGTCCTATCTTTTTTGCAAATATCGGCTCCTTTTTTCTACATTTCCTATTATGATGAAAGTCAGCCACACACCAGGCCACCACGTCAGACATCTGGAAGCCTTTTATATCCCGTCTGCCTTATTCATCATTATATCCCCACCCTCAAGAACAGCACCTCCTACAAGGCAGACTCAACAAACATTTCTTGAATACATGCATTCTCAACCACTCATTTTCCTTCAATGCCTACAATTAGTTGGGGATGAAATACTGTCAATTTGGGTTCCTTACCAATCTGACATAACCATCCCCTCTTGTCTTGCTCTTGTTATCTTTCTCCTATGTCTTTGTTCATTTCCTCACTCCCTCTAATTTCACTTCACTCCCCCATAACCTCTGATCTTTCCTTACACTTGTAAAAATACACTTCTCATTCTGAGTGCCACACTGCCTCAGAGTCTGCATATATTAGCCTGTGATGGTGTTTCCCATGAATTTATCCTATAGATTTTTCAACCACCCTTTCCCTTCAGCTCCTCATGACCTCCTCCCACTGGTCGGTAATACTCTGCATTCTGTAATTCCCCGCATCTGCCAGTCTCCGTGCTATCCCTCACTCCCTCCTCTTCAATGCCTCTGCCACCAAATCCTCTCTACACTGTTATCACCTTTATGTTGTGTGCCGTGGAGTCGGTTCTGACTCATAGCGATCCGTACAGGGTTTCCGAGGCTGTAAATCTTTACGGGAGCAGAAAGCCTCATCTTTCTCCCGCGGAACAGCTGGTAGTTTTGAACTGCTGACCTTGCAGTACGCAGCCCGATTCGTAACCACTACGCTACCAGAGCTCGTTGTTATCACCTTTATAGTCTTAAAAAATTTCAAAGGGCAGCTGGAAAAGACAAAGTCAAATAACGAAATCTGCAAAGATCTAAGTTAGAAAACCAAAAGGGAAGAACACACTCAGCATTTCTCAAAATGAGGGAAATGAAGAAAAACTCAAGCCTCAATTTGTGGTATTAAAGGATTCTAAGGGCAAAAGATGTCAGCTTGAGGACTAAGATGCACCTGACCCAAGCCATGGTATTTTCAATAACCTCACATGCATGCGAAAGCTGGACAGTGAATAAGGAAGACCATAGAAGAACTGATGTTTTTGAGTTATGGTGTTGGAGGAGAATATTGAAAGTGCCATGGGCTGCCAAAAGAGCCAATAGATCCGTTTTGGAAGACGTGGAGCCAGAGTGCTCCTTGGAGGGCAAGGCAAGGTGGTCAAACTTGGTCTCTCATACTTAAGACATATTGTCAGGAGGGACCAGTCACTGGAGAAGGATATCATGTTTGGTAAGGTGGAGGGTCAGAGAAAAAGAGGAAGACCCCCAACGAGATGGAATGGCCAGGTGGCAGCATCGATGGACTCAAGAGTGGCAACAGTAGTGAGGGCCCAGGACCCGGCAGTGTTTCGTTCTGCTGTGCATAGGGTCGCTATGAATCAGTGCCGACTCGATGACACCTAACAACAACAACAATGGGCAAAATATTTAATGATGCAGAAAGTATCAAAAGAAGATAGAAGGAACATACAGAGTCACTGTGCCAAAAAGAAATGGTCGATGTTCGACCATTTCAAGAGATAGCACATGATCAAGAGCCAATGCAAATGAAGGAAGAAGTCCAAGGTGCATTGAAGGAATTGGCAAAGAACAAGGCTCCAGGAATTGATGGAACACAAATTGAAATCATTCAAGAAAGTGAGGAGACACTGGAGGCACTCACTGATCTCCGCCAAGAAATTTGGAAGACAACTACCTGGCCAGCTGTTGTTTTCAATAACCTCATACACATGTGAAAGTTGGACAGTGAATAAGGAAGACCATGGAAGAATTGATGCATTTGAGTTGTGGTGTTAGAAGAGAATTGAAAGTATCATGGATTTCCAAAAGAACAAACCAATCTGTGTTCATATGTGTGCCTATTCCAAGGAAAGGTGTCTCAACAGAATACAAAAATCATCAGACAATGTCATTAACATCGCATGAAAGTACAATTTTGCTAAAGACAATTCAAAAATGGCTGCAGCCATACATTGACAGAGAACTGTCAGAGGTTCAAGGTGCATTCAGAAAAGGAGGTGAAATAAGAGCTATCATTGCTGACATCAGATGAATCTTAGTTGAAAGCAGAGAATAACAGAAAGATGTTACCTTTGTCAAAGATCAAAATCTTTGTCCACACTCTGTAGAGGCTGAATTAACACTTCCACCCTGCTCTCAGTGTTCTCTAAATAAGCATCTACCAGTAACATTCAAGGGGATCTGGTAGTGTACTGGTTACAAGTTGGGCTGCTAATATCATGGTCAGCAATTCAAATCTATCAGCTGTTCCACAGGAGAAAGATGAGACTTTCTGCTCCCGTAAAGATTTACAGCCTCAAAATCTCTATCCAGGGTGACTATGAGTGGGAGTTGACTTCATGGCACTTAACAACCACCATGACCTGCAGCCCTCAGGTTAATGCTTAATTCCCTGTATGTCTTTATGACTATAAATGCCTCCCAGGCTAAGACTATGGCCTACTTATCTTTGAGAACCCTGTAATCAATAATTGGTTACTGAATATGAAGGAGCTCTGGTAGCGTAGTGGTTATGAATCGGGCTGCTAATCTCAGGGTCAGCAGTTCGAAACTACCAGCTGTTCCGTGGGAGAAAGATGAGGCTTTCTGCTCCCGTAAAGATTTACAGCCTCGGAAACCCTGTACAGGGTCTCTATGAGTTGGAACCGACTCCACGGCACATCACAACAACAACAAATATCCATTCAATCTTCCCAAAGAAATGAACGCGAACTCTACATACCTCCTTATTTTGAAGATTCTCTGAGGTAGCAGGCAAAGGTTCTACTGTATTTCCAGGGCATACAGCCATCTGACTCACTGCATCTTTATTTCTAAAGTAAAAGGCATCAGCATATCAGAAGAGTTCATTATTTTCTTTCTACTACTTGAAGAGTCAGAGGATTATCTCACTAACCCCAATGATCTAGAAGTATAATATTCATATACTCATATGTTTAGATATGTTTTATTTTCATTAAAGAGACAGACCTTAGAGCCAAAAAAAATCTTTTTTTTTTTTCCTTTCTTTTGGCGAACCACCAACAGAAAATGCTCACCTGATGAATATGATTTTTACTTTGGAAGGTGCACATTTAATGATTGATGAGGCATTTTGATGACTTCTGCCATACAAAATCTGACCATTGATCTATGGAGGGAAAAAAAAATCATTTATTAAGCCTGGAATTCTAATTTATTTTTTATCATCTTATACATTGTTGTTATTAGGTGCCGTCAAGTTGGTTCCAACTCATACTGACCCCATAGACAACACAATGAAGCACTGTCCGGTACGGCACCATCCTAACAGGGGTCATCCTCAAGCTCGATGCTGATGCAATCACACCAGTCCAACTTTTGGGGGCTCTGACTCTTTCTTCACTGACCCTTCACTTTACCAAGCATGATGTTCTTCTCTAGGAACTGGTTCCTCCTGATAATACATCTGAACGATGAGAGATGAAGTCTGGCCATCCTGGTTTCTAAGAGGCATTCTGGCTGTACTTCTTCCAACACAGATTTGTTTGTTCTTCTGACAGTCCATGATACTTTTAATAGTTTTCTCCAACAACAAAGCTCAAATGCATCAATTCCATGACAGTCTTCCTTATTCATTGTCCAACTTTCACATACATACCCGGTGTGGAAATACAATGGCCTACATCAGGCACACCTTATTCCTCACACTGACATGCTTGCTCTTGAACACTTTAAAAAGCTCTTGTGTAGTAGATTTGGCTAATGTAATACATTTGATTTCTTGTCTACTCCTTCCATAAGTGTTGATACTGGATCCATGCAAAATGAAGTTTTTGATAATTTTAATCTTTTCTCCATTTATCATGATGTTATTTACTGGCCCAGTTATGAGGATTTTTGTTTTCATTATATTGAGTTGCAACCCATATTAAATGTTGTGGTCGCTGACCTTCATAAGTTAAACATTTTAAGTCCTCTTCACTTTCAGCAAGCAAGGTTGTATCATCTGCAGATTGCAGGTTGCTAATGAGTCTTTCTCCAATCCTGATTCCACTTTCTTCTTCATCTTATATTGTTGTTGTTGTTAAGTGCCATCGAATCAGTTCCGAACCTTAAGGTCAGTGGTTCGAAACTACCAGCCGCTCCGCGGGAGAAAGATGAGGCTTTCTACTCCCGTAAGGATTTACACCCTCGGAAACCCTGTACAGGGTCGCTATGGGTCGGCTCCGACTCGAAGGCACTTAACAACAACAAACAACAACAATAGGATTTCCAATGAGGAGCTGGTGAGTTTGAGCTGTCAACCTTGTGGATGGAAATGCAGTGCTGACCCTACATCAGGATTCCTCATCTCATATAGCTAATGAACAACAAGGTCATTAGATTTTCCTTCTTCTTCTAAAGTAAGTATACATTGTTGTTGTTATTAGGTGCTATGTGACTCACAGGGACCCTATGTAACAGAATAAACTACTGCCCAGTGCAGCACCACCCTCACAATCCTCATGCTTGAGCCCACTGCTGCTGTCACTGTGTCCATCCACCACATTGAGGGGACTCTCCACTTTACTAAAGGAGCTCTGGTAGCGTAGTGATTACAAGTTGGACTGCTAACCTCAAGGTCAGCAGTTCGAAACTACCAGCTGTTCCGCGGGAGAAAGAGGAGGCTTTCTGCTCCAGTAAAGATTGACAGCCTCGGAAACCCTGTACAGGGTTGCTATAAGTAGGAATTGACTCCCTGGCACCTAACCAGCCAACCAACCAACCACTTTACTAATAAGCAATATGTCTTCTCCAGGGACTGGTTCTTCCTGCCAACATGTCTAAAGTACAAGAGATGAAATCTCCCCACCACCACTTCCAAGGAGCAATCTGGCTATATTTATTCCAAAACAGATTTGCTCATTCCTCTGGTAGTCCATGGTATATTCAATATTGTTCACCAATATCATAATTCAGATGCACCCCCCACACATACTCATATTTCTCTCCCTAGCACATGCATCTGATTTTGGATGGTCATGGTTAAAGCCAACACTAAAGTAATGTATATGTTGTTGTTGCTAAGTGCCGTTGAGTCCGTTATGACCCATAACGACCCTGTATAAGTTTGGCCAAGGAGTTGCTGGTGAGCTTGAACCTCCTACTTTGTAGTTCAAACTGACAGCCCAGTGCATTAGCCCACAGTGCCACAAAGGACTCCAAATTAATGTATATATAAAGTGACAATTAGGGACAGATGCTTAAGGAGGTAAACTTCTTAGCAGGCACTAGACTTCCAGTACGATTTGTACAAAACAAGTCTTTGAGGCTTGTACAGCCATCCTGGGAAGTCCACAGCTGTCATGTTTCCTAGGTGATTGACAAACTCAAGCGCTGAGAAAAGGCTGCTGGGAGAAGCAATGGCTGCGATTCAGAATTTGCATGGCAGAATGTGCCTACGCAGCAAAGTGTCTTATGGGAATGCCAGTTCAGTCCTCTAGCCTGAGCCATTGGCTGACTGAACATCAATAGCCAAACAGACTAGGCCTGGGGAAGGGTAGAAAGGCAGCCAGAGGGCTCCTCGCCTAGAGGAATAAGGGCAAACAAAACGTGCGAATACAATTCTAAATACTTTAAAGTTTTGGCCCACAAACATATTTTATTTAGCAGGTTCAGTTACTGGTTTCATTATTTAGCCTTAATCTTGACCAAGTCGACCGCACGCAGCACCATCATTTGTACGATGAGGGATTTGACTCCCAGAAAGCCCAGGGAGTCAGCCTTATTACTGACGAGTGATTGGTCATTTGGCCTTTCAAAATCTCTAATAAAAATGGAGCACACTCACAAAAAAAATGTTTTAGAAGTGTGATCTTTATTACTGTCTTGGGGCAAAATTGTTTCTAGAGCTACACAGTCATGACCTTTAAATGGAAGTTAATGGGAACATGGATTTTGCTTAGTAGAAATTTGGTTGAAAGCCAATTTTGCTGCACTACATCTATTTTATTAGGCAAACAACCATTTTCTCAGTTACAATGTGGGTGGATTTTTGTAAACTGATCATTCTATTGAACCATGACTTTCTTGGGTTCAGAGAAAGTAGATTCAGAGATTTCCATGATAGCTTACCTCCAGAAGTTCATCTGCGATCTGTAATCTGCCATCTTTCCCAGCTGCTCCATTGGGATCGATCCCCACTATAAAGACACTCATCCTGGATCGGTCTTTGTTTCCAGCAAGACTTAGACCCAAGCCACTACGACCTTTTTCCAATTCAATCATATGGAGCTCGCCTACCAGGGTTCCATAACGTTCTCTGATGTTTTCTACAAGCAAAAGAAAAAAAATTCAAGTATCAAGAGAGAACTAATACAAAGGCAAACGCTTTACTACAGAAGGCTATCCACTTTTGTTTCAAAGGGCATTATTTGTACCAAAATGCAGTTCTTGGGCATTAGGAAAAACTGGGCATCAGTATTGCTTTCTAGAACAACTACAATTTTGAGGAATCAGTTTGCATCTACAGTGCAAAGAGTATGGAGCGCTTCACAAAGTTTGTGGGAAAATTTCATTCTATTTAAATTCTTTTTTTCAGGACCTTTTTGAAGTACCCTCATACAGTCTGATTAATTGCCTTGAGGTAATCAAGTCCAAGAGGAAGTGATTCATTAACCAAATGCTCAAAAGACTATGATTAAACCCTAATGTTGCTTTCTTATTATAAAGGAGAACAGGATTGTTAAGTTATCCAGAGCTTCTGTCCACTGTAGTCACAGTGGGAGCTCTTCTACCATAGGAAGATCTACACGGGAAGTGTAGTGGTGGACAATTGTTTGAAACATGGATCCAAAATAAAGGGAACAGGTGTCTTGACTGCACAGGGTCATCAGACCAGAGCAAACTGATGGACCTATGGTGTGGGATAAGCAATGGACGGCTAACTGAAAGCATGGCAATTCAAACCCACCAGACTCTCCTCAGAAACCCTACACAGAGTTCCTGTAAGTCAGAACTGACTCAAGAGCACTTAACAACAACAACAACAACAACCACCCAGGTTTGGGACGCATGTGTCATTCCTATCTCTCATTCCACATATTCAAATGATACAGTTCATTCTTCACACTCTAATCTGAGAGAACCCTGTGCCTACCTTGACCAACAGACAAAGGCAAAAGGGACAATTCTACACATAGCTCTTTATAGACTTGGCAGTTCTACTTTCTGATCCTCGGAATGCTTGCACTTGGAAAGCTTCTCAGGACTCGTAGGCCATACTGTGTGAAGTTCCAGTCATGGAGATACTGGATATAAATGCTCCAGTCCATGGTACCAGACGGGCAACTAGCTAACAGCCAGCACTTTCTCTAGCAGCCATGGGGGTGCGCCATCTTGGAAGTGCAGCTTAGCTGAGTCTCTACCACCCATGGGAGTGTGTCAGCTTAGACACACAGCTTAGCTGATCCCAGTCAACCATAGAACCTTGGTAGATTCATAGACAATTATTTTGAGCCATCAAGTTTTAAATGATTTATTACATGACAAAAGATTATTAAACTTTCTGGCTCATGTTTACCTTAGTGTATTTTGGTCGCCTTGTCTGAATCAGCAATTTAATCTAATTTCACTAATAGTGAAATGAGAAAATTGCAGAGTTTACAAATCTCCTATTAGAAAATGACACTATATAGCTTGTTGCTTTTGTTAGGTGCCATCGAGTCGGCACAAACTCATAGCAACCCTATGCACAACAGAATGAAACACTGCCAGGCCAACATCACAATCCTTACGAAGCCTGAGCCCATTGCTGCCTCCACTGTGCTAATCCATTGCACTGGGGTGGGGTGGGGGTCTTTCTTTATCACTTTACTAAATACGATGTCCTTCTCCAGGGATTTGTCCCTCCTGATAATATGTGCGACGTATGAAAGACGAAGTCTGGCCAACCTGGCTTCCATGGAGCACTCTGGCTGTATGTCCTTCTTCCAGCACAGACTGGTTTATTCTTTTGGCAGTCCATGGTACTTTTACTATAAGGCTAGTGCCATGTAGTCTAAATTTACTCTTAACTGCATCAATTACATAAACTGCCATTTTCTAGAATCTAGCAACTTAAGACACACACTTTGAACTTCCTAAAATCATGTACCTTAGCTTTCTTAATGGAAATAATTGAACTTTAAAATGGAACTGTTAAAATATGAAGAAATGCTCATTAATGTTGGCTAAATTTTTAGTATTTCCTAGAAAAATGGTCAATTTCCTTAAAAACACAGAAACCCCGGTCTCATAATAACAGCTGTCTTTCATTGCTTCCTTTGCACCCGGCATTATGATTAGCACCCCTCCCACAGTATCTAATTTAATGCTAGTAAACTGGCATTAAAAAACGCATTCTAAAAAGTGAGTTTATCCTGTGAAAACTCAAGAAAAGGTTTTCATACTAAAAGAAACAGTCTTTGATGGTAGGGAAGGAAGAGTAGTAATTCATTGGCTAAAGCTCAAACATATGTTAACGTGGGTGACAAGGAGGGCACTATGGAAGACGGAGGCTAGCAGAAGAATGATGAAGACAGGTGCAGATACATGGAAGTATGCAGGGGCTAAGGGGATAGAGGTCAATAGTGACATATCCACAACCTTGGAACAAGAGTGTGTTGAACGTAGATACATGGACAGAGATACAGGCTGAATGGAGATATATATATGTTGTGGACCGTGTAAGACTGGTCAGAGGTTCAAGGCCCTATATGCCCGAGTGTAACAAATGAAGCCACTTGGCAGTTAATAGCAAATTGTTTTTCATCAAATTGTTTAGTCATATTTATTTAATT